TGTTGTGATCCACTACTATATTACTTTTTTAAAATCTCTTATTTTTAGGCGTTAGTATTTGCATTTTGCTTACATTTACGTGTTATAATAGTATATTTTTAAAATAATGATTTTTAATGTTTTAAACAATTTTGTATCAATGAATGCAAAGAGGCATTTACGTCTCGTTCACAAAACTCATATACACATTTTTAAAAAAAGTATAAATAGAAATGCTGTGAATTGCTTTTGGTCGGCAAATAAATGCTTTAGAAATTTAAAGACAGAGAAAGGACATAAGAGTATCTCCATCGGTTAAAAATTCTGTTGAGTGTCTGACAAATAAAATAATATTAATTTTTTATTATTTAATTATTTATTTAAACCAATCAGAATAATACAAGTGTAAAAATGGGTGTCTCAGAGTTTCTCATTTGAGAAACGTTTATGTCCTCTCTCCTTCTTTTTTAAATTTTTTATTCTGTTTTATTGGAAAGTATTTTACCTAGACATTTCCAACGAAAATATTTCCAACGAAAATGGTCTAAATAGTTTATAGTTTTATAAGAAAAGAAAAAGAAAGTTTAGAGTTTTATAAATAACTAGTACTCGTAATAGTTAGTTACAGTATTATCATCTTCTCCAATTTGTATTTCGCAATCGACTTAAAAGACAGAAAACTAAGATCGTGTCTAAGACGTGGCAGAATATGGCTGACTTTGCCTAAAAAATACAACTCTCCACACCGACAAAGTCAACCACTATTTTATTTGGTCAAACAAAATCCCAAAATAGTCAGTAATCAATCACATCATAATTAATAATAACAACTACTTATGATTCTTAGTAACATTCCATAAACCCTTAGAGCAAACGCAGTGACATACTTGTTACTCGGATGTTGGTTATAAACAATTGAGAAATATTGCAAAAGTTACCTTTTCAATAAAAATTGGGTGTAGACTTACACTCAAGTGTGAGGTATTATAAAAATAGAAAAAAATTTCTTCTCTCTATCTCTCTCTCTCTTTGCTCTCTTTCTCTTTTAATTATAACAATAAACAATTACTTACATCCACAATTACATATGCTCCACTGCGTTTGCTCTTATGCTTCCGTGTCACTTATATTTCTAAGTACTGAAACACACGAACCCACATTTATATTTCAGCCGCCAAAGTAACAGTTGACTACATTTTTATTTGACCAAATACACACGAATACACACGAGTATTTTTCCCGAAATGTGAACAAATTAGAAACATTTTTACAAAAATAACTCGAAACTAAAGTTCTCTATCTGTTATCTATGTGGAGACATTTGATAAAATTAGAACGATACAAAAGATTAAAATACTCGGCGTAATGACACGTATCAATGGAGAAGCCAACAAACTTTCAGAATTCTGCTACCCATAAAGGCTAACCAATTCTGAGTGCAGCAGCTGCCACTTGCAGATATGGAAGCATCGAGTCACTTGTCAAACAGACCCAATACAAGTATAAAAGGCTGTGTAGATATAGGGCCTGTATAGTTTGTTTTGGGCCACTCAGCTAAAGTTCGTAATCTTCAAACTTCCTTTTTTCCCTCAGATTAGCTGGTATAGTGCATTATCTAAATCATTAGTCATTATACTGAATTATGTTCATGGACAAAATATTTGTATGAATGCTCTAAGCCAAAATACTTCACGCGGATTGAAAATCAAACCAATCAAACCTTAAGGGAATTAATGTTTCAAACAAGAAATATAATAGAGAAATTAATGAAAATAAATAAAAAAAGATAACAGATTGAAACTGCTCTTCTGTAATATTCAAAAGAGATCAGAAATATTCAATTAAAGAATAGTTTGACAAATCTTTTCTCTCACCACCAAAGAACAAAACAAATAGACAACAACTTTCTTCTTCATCTCTATATCTACAACACATTCTTGCAAAAATAACAATCTCGTAACAAAATTAAATCTTCTTTTTCTTTTCCTTTTTTCCTCATCTAATGAACACAATGAAGGAGTCTTTAGAGGTAAAACAATATCTCTTTTACCTCTCTTTGATCCGTGGGAATAAAAACCTTTTTCACCAACCCATCCATCGGTCAATCAAATCACAAGCAGTCTAAACCGCAGATCTCGAGAATAGGACCGCCTTTCGCCACAAACGGATTAACCCGAACCCAAAGAAGTGTAAGAATCGAGGCGAGGAGGATCGACCAGACGACAATAATGGTCGGCATTCTATCTTGTTTCCCAAGCAAACCTTTAAGGAACGGGTAAAGATGAATGATGACCCAAAGTGCAAAGAACAATCTTCCGAAAAGCGGTCCCCACGAGTCATATCCATTGCTGATGGCATCAGAAACTCCGACTATGACTCCGATAACGTTTATGATGAGTAGAGTCGTTGGGGGGATGAGAAGTGAAGTCCATTTGAAGAGGTAAAGGTCAGAGAACTCGCCATCATCAGCTGCTTTTGATGTGACTGTAAAGTTAGTGTCGACACCAGCGAGAACCTTGAGGAGACCTTGGAAGAGAGCAAACAAATGCGCTGAAACGCCTCCGATGACCCAAAACTGTTCGTTTCTCCACCAATCATCGATCCCAACTTTGCCCCATTGCATCTCGAGAATACCCGTTACTGCAATCGACGAGAAGAGCGCCATGAAGAGGATACTCGCATAGTTGCTAATCTGCAAAAAGAAGAACAAGAATTGTTTTCAGGTCTTAAAACACACAACTTGGAATAAAGATTCATACTTTGAGAGCTCAAGATGATATTTTTTACCCAGAGGGGCGAGGACAATGAATTTGAACAAAACATGAAATAAAGATCATATTTTGAGAACTCAAGATGATCGATTGGTTTACCTCGGGAACGATGAATTTTCCGGTGAGAAGACAGATGGCAGGGAGAGAACAGTAAACGATGAGCGGGAGAGAGGTCCACGGGTAAACCACGGAGTTAATGTAGGACAACCTCTCAAGCCATTTCAAACCACCTCCATAGCCATACCAAATAGGACAATGCCTACTCAAGAAAATCTCAACCGACCCAAGCGCCCATCGAAGAACTTGATGGAGACGATCTGAAAGATTGATTGGAGCTGATCCTTTGAAAGCTGGTAACTTTGGTGTACAATAAACAGACCTCCAACCATGAGAATGCATCTTAAAACCAGTAAGAATATCTTCGGTAACAGAACCATAGATCCACCCAATCTGAGATTTTTTTCACAAGGGTCATCATCAGAATAAGAATCGATTGCACAAACACAAGAAAGGTTTGAAACAGGCTGCTTACCTCTTTTCCCCATTCAGTTTTATCTTCATATCCGCAACTAATGACTTGGATGGCTTCTTTAAGCAGACAAGCCGGGCTTGCATTTCTAGCCATCCCACCATTCTCCATACGAGCAGATGCAACAAAAACAGGAGACTGCCCAAATTTCTTCTCCAACTTCATTTGCATTGCCTCGGTTGACTGTTCTACGTTAGAGCCTAGAATTAAAAAACAAATTTTTTTTTAGTAAACTGCACCAACTACCGAAAGTGTTTACAACAAACGGGATTTGTATTATACCTTTAGTGACGCGTCCCTCTTCGATATTTTCTAATGCGTGGATCTGCTTTGACGCTTCCCTATTCTTCTTCTTCTTATCCGCAGCTACTGTCTTTGCTTTACGATTCTTTCTTGAACCAAAACATAGGAGACACCATTTTGGCCAGCAATTGCATGTCTTACGTGGGGCCTTCTTCTTTTTCGGTGCATCAAATCCGTACAGCGCTTGCCTCCTGAAAACACAACCTGTACCGACGTATATAGGCCCTTGTAGCCCATCCAAACCTTTCATATTGATCTGTAAATAAAGTATCATTAGTTGGAAATATACAGAAATCTCAAGAAAAAGGGATACAATAAGAAAACAGTGGCTGTACTTACATCAAAGAACACAACATTGCGATTTGAGTATCGATCATGTCTATCAATCCCATCGAATCTTTGAGGGAATTGAACGTAACAGATTTTCTTTCCTGACTGAGGATCCATCATGAAACACATTGCTTCTCTAAGAGCTTTGCTATTGTTGATGTAGTGATCACAATCGACATTCAGAAGGTAAGGAGCATTTGATAGAACCCCCGAGACTCGTATCTTCAACAAATATTTGTAAATGAATCAAGAGTCAGGAACCATTTCAATAAAATGGCAAGGCGTAAATGAATTTACAAAGAAAAAGTTTTAGAGGTTCAAAAAGTATATCATTTACCAGGGAATTCATAGCTCCAGCCTTCTTATGGTGATCAAATCCAGGTCTCTTCTCACGAGAAACATAAACTAATCGAGGCAACTCGTTGTTTTCAACATCACGAACACCGTCACTTCCAAGGAAGACCTTTAACAAGAAAACAAGTGAAGTTTAATTTTGAAGCACAACACATAGAAAGGCTTTTCAGAAATAAGAAGCATTTGAAACTCACCTGAATCATGCCGGGATGATCTCGCACACTATTACCGGGCCAAGGTGTACCGTCTTGCATAGTCCAACCATCCTCTGGCACTTTCTGTGCTGTCGCTACCAATGCATTTATCTTTACTTTGAATTCTTCGTAATCTCTCTGTCAAAACCAGTAAAAACACAATCTTTCAAATAAATTTTCAAACCACCATCTTCTTTCATAAGAGCCCATATAACAAAAGATCGATACAAGTCTCATGAAAGATAAATTTCCAACGCAAGAATCAAAAAGACCAAAAGTTTTCTCATCAAATTTATGAAAAAGAAAGAACTAGTAACCTTCATGGCTCGCCGCTCCCTGACAAATGCGGGATGGACTTTATTCTTCAAGTAATCCATTTTATGGCAGAAATACCATTCGGGAGCACGAGGCTCGATACAATATTTCTTACAGAAAGGAACCCATTTCCTTGCAAATTCCGCGGTTTCAGAAAGAGCTTCGAAAGTAAGCATAGCAGCACCATCATCAGATACATAACAAGCAACCTTATCGACAGGATAATCAACCGCAAGAATAGACAAGACAGTATTTGCAGTAATAAGCGGAGGCTCTTTCAATGGATCCACTGTACTGACAAATACATCCACAGGGGATAGTTCCGATGGTTTCCCTTCTTTCTCATATCTGCAAACAAAAACTAAGGATTATATCCCCAAAACATAGTTTTAACATTTCCAAGTGTAATAACCCACAAGATTTAAGTACCTTAATGAGAGTCGGTCCAAGTATGTTTCTCGCTCAATTGGGTACCATTTAGGGAACTGATCAAGAACCCATGAAACCGCAAACCATATCTCACATATAACAGAAATAAGCCACAAGGCATATGCATCTTTGACCGGGTGAAGAATACGGTAGTGAAAGAAGAGACCAAGAATCACAAGACGTAGTACAATTAACATCCGGTAGGGATTTATCTTGCTCGATTTGATTGGTATCTTCCTAGACAATGGCTGCCTTCCCTCATCCATCCTAAAATGGAAAGAAAGAGAACAAAAGGCTTGATGATATCATTGCAACGGAACACGACACAACCAAAATTTGTTTTTTGTCTAC